TACCAGCGATGCCAGCCAACATCAGGGTATTTCCACCTGATGTACCAGCAAGGCCACCAACCACCAGCCAGGATCAAGGTGCCTCACAGCATGGTTACCACCACTGCCAGCCACCAACTCCCCCTCTGGGGCATGCTGTATCCACTGAGCCTTCACAGCTGATGAAAACTGTGCCCAGTGCTGCCTGATGAGCTTTACCAGATGGTTGGCCACCTCTGCCATGACCTCTGCCCCAGGGTAATCCCAGCCTGCCTCATCATGCAGCAATTTCCCAGTAACCAGTAACCAGTAACACCATGCCCACCCTTCACCCCATTGCTCCCCCTTGCATCCCCACCCCCATTACCATTCTCAGCTCTCAGACCTGCAGCAGCACCAGAAGTAGACACCCTCTGCTGAACTTTAGGCTGTGAGAAGGCACCCAGTTCATGGGCCACAGCCACCAACTGCTCAAAAATTAATCATCTTGCCGAGCAGCTTTAGGTAGTTATGTAGTTGGTTCATACTGAATTTCTCCAATAGCATCCAGAGCTCAGCTGCCTGCTGCTCAGTGTCACCACGGTTCTGCTTTGTTTGATTAATACACGTTGTACAAGGTATTTCAACTCGCACCAGCATTTTTGCAGGTTGAGGGACGGGTTGAAGCCCTCTCACATCCAGAAGCGACAATGGTGGAACATTTAGGTTGGGCTGACCATCATAAAGGACCTGGTAAAGGTCCATCACTGTGGCCATGTGCTTTGGCCAAGGCCTGACACCAATAGGAAGGTGCATCACCTCCGGCACATGTTGATCAGATTGACCCGCTTGCTGAGCAGTATGCATCACTAAAGTCTTGCACCCTCCACCATTCCTGACATGCAAGAGAACAGCTGCAAAATGATGGGGTAAAATTTGTGGGGTCATGGAAGGGCTCCCCACCCACAGTGAACCATGCAAACCAAGATTCACCAAGGACCACCTTTCCATATCAGGGTCATGTATAGTTGTTTGCCATTCTGAGAAGAAGAGGGATTGTGGTGCTTATGAAACACATTGCAAGGAGCACAATGGGAAGACTGTACTCACCCACTGGGGTCTTGCCTCCTTGGAGCACAAATGTAATGGTGTATGCCTTGCATGGCCCCACTGTTGACAAGAGCAATGGTTATCCCATGTTGCAGTTGTGAGGCATCTGCCCATCACCCAAAGGGGCGACACTGTAGTGCAGGAGGTAGACAGTCAGCTACCTCCTGCTGACCTCCTCCTGGTTGTCTCCACTGTTGTCAGAAACATGAAAAGCTTGTCAGCTCCTCTTGAGGTGTACATATCATTTATGGTGAATTTCTGGGGTCACCTTTCTCCATGCAGACATGTGGGCATGTTTGGACATGAATGATTGGTTGGACAAGGATTGATCCGTGATGGAACTTTGCATGCATCAGGGATATATAAGTTGGAGCAACAGCCATGGTACGGTCATGCACACACAGTTTCACTTACCTCACACCCTTTTGGCCAACAGTCATGGTCATAGCCAGCTTGTACTTCTGGAAGGTTAGATCCTCTGTAACAGTTCACACCTTAGCTGCTTTCCAGCTGTCAAGCAGCAAGCGGTTATATTGGTCCAGTTGCACAAGCAATCTTCAAGCATTGGACAGGATTGACTTCAATGCCTGCATATACACAACGAAGACACAGTCAATGCATGCACGGTATTCTCACAATCAAAGGCACACCTTCTGCTGAGTGAGCATCTATAACACAGCAAAGGTGTAACCCGGGATGCTCAGATGGGCCTTGCATCGTTACATTGCTCCCCACTTAGCAATGGACATCCTTGGCCATTATTACGAGCACAGGAGCCATCCCACCTCACGCTTTCTACATTGGTTTATCCATTACACCATGGTAAAGCCCTTCCAGCGATACCTGCTGGTTGCCAGAATCAAACCGCCGACCCGTAGCTTACATTGGAAGTCTTGCGGCCCAGTCTTGATACCATTGTAACACAGCAAAGGCATATAATCAGATGGGCCTTGTGTCCTTGCAGCATCTGGATTGCACCTGGCAGCATCCAACTTGTGAGAACCCAGCTTCCTTGGGTCCAGGCCAAGCCCCTTGCACAATTGCTGTGAGCAAAGGGGAGCAACATGCAGTCGATTAACTAGGCAATCTTAAACTCCTTGTCCGGAACATGATGGTCGAACCCCTAAAACCCACGCTGCCCTCATCATCACCCTCATCAAGCAGACCAGAGTTGCCTGCCTTGACAATACACCGACCGGCAAAAACAGCAGCAGGCTAGGAAGCTACAGGGTGCCCCAATCTTCCTTTTGCGGAAAACGGAAAATCCTCTAAAATGGTCCTTACCCAGCCCTTACAGTCATGCCTAAACATCAACGGCATAGGTCTTACCACAAGCTTGTTGAACTGCGTCTTGTATGCCTTGATAGTATTGGGGCAAGCAGCAGCCATGGAACTGTTGAAAAGGTCCGTGAGATCCTTCTCAGTGAAGGAAAAGGTTCCGTTATCGTTCTCATCATCATCATTATCATCATCAGTGCTTGCACCGCTGGCATCACTGTCGTCAGCACCACCGTCACCACCGCCGTCGCCATCACTGAAGTCAGCAGTAGCGATGATGCCACCCGGGCTGGATACACCACTCTTGCCTGTAGACCCGTGCTGCTGCCTTCTGCCAAGCCCACGCTGTGCAGAGTTAGGACGCGCACGCTTCCTGGAATGTCCTTGTTGTGGTGCCGGCTCAGACCGCGCGCGCCTCCTGGGATGTGGGTGCGGGGGAGCCTCCAGTATTGTGCATTGCGGTAACTTTTCCATGTAAAGATTATACGACTTTCAACTTACTGTATGCTCAGCAAATTGCTAGGGAAATGGGCTCATCTGGACGCAGTTTGCATGCCGGCTTGCACAAGGAACATCTGCACTCGCTTTACGCCCATGCGCGCCGCGAGCATAAGGATTCACATCAATGACATGTCGATTGTTTCGTGCATGAAATTTTTGTGAGTATGTGCGCGAGACAAGCTGTGCCGGACGCTCGTCCGTACTGTCCCAGCGTCCGCAAGGGGGGATGATTAACCACATTTACCCACTAAGCTCGTGCCCTGTGCCAGGTGCCACGCTAGTAGCTTGAAAATGAAATGGAACATATCCACTTCACACACATGGCCAGAAGTGGATATCGTTCAATTTTCAAGCTACTGGACGCTGCAGGGTATCCCGGATGGGATCAAACACCACCATCCTTTCCTTTATGAAGGTTACAGTCTATGCTATATTCCGAATGGGTACCGTGCGTTATAGCTTTGACTGCAATGAAGGAATTGCCCAATCGGATGCCCATGCCAACTACCGTACTCGTATTACTTTTTCAATAATGTACAACTTACTTCGTTTCATAAAATATTCGTGACGTTGATATGTTTTTACTGAAAGATATTGGCCACTGCTTGCCGTTTTGATATCGTAAGTTGTAACTGCCAACACGAGGCTCACCTTTCGTGCTGCTAGATGTAATACGTCCTTTTCCCTTACAAGATGAACACGGCGTTGGGGAAGCGGAGCTCGCAGCGGGTGTATCAGCAGCGAGAAAAGGGCTTCGCGCGGTTAACAACTAGTCGATGCAGTGTTCCGGCAGTTGTACCAGTGCGATATAGAGTATCGTCACGTTGCGGTGCGACTAGGCCGGTATCGGTGACACTTCAGGACACCATCCGACAGTTCCAGGCCAAACCGGGCTTGTCTACCCCTGGCAACGTCACGAAGCTTACGGACGACGGTCTATTCCAGGGACAGATTGTCTGGACGAAATTTACCTGGCCGGCTGTCCTTGGCGGCGAAGAGGTTTACATTTGGGGTGAGCGTTTCGGGACTTGTAAGTATGGCCACGAAAGGCCACAGCTTCTCGCAGCTACAACTGACCCTCCTCTGTTGTCTGGTTGTGCGTACCACGTGTGGGGAACCGCGCAGGAAGCTTCAACGACTGGACGAAGGGCGTCCGGCTGCACAAAGCGGGACGTGACCGGGATGCTGTCCTGATCCTGCCCTTGCAGCCTGGCACTTACGAGGTGAGCTTGCATTCCGCCGCATGCCACGGCGGGGTTGAGGAGGTTTAAGGAGGATGAGTCCCCGCGTATCTCCGGAGTGGTGTTGGTGTGTGTGGGGAGGCCGGGGAGGCCCTCCAGGGAGCTGGCAAGTATTAGATAGGCCGTTGTAGCAGCCGGGGGGCTCCAGGGGTGATTGGGTGACAATCAGCCGCGGCCCTCCTTGGACTGAGATCTCGCGTAAGCTTGTGCCAGCGTGTCCATGTTGTGGTACGGAACCGCACGTTGCAACAGGTTTGCGCGCGGCAACTCCTTCCCCCTACCGAAGCAGCTTTTCACTCCCAACAGTTTGCGACTTTGCATGTTGGCAGCTGATCCTTTTCCCTTTAGAGATAATCTCCCACACTCCACACTCCACACCCCATTTCTTCTGCCATGGGGTTCGTTTCGCCCCGGGGCCCTCACACGCCGCCTCACTCCTCCCATAGAACAGCAGCAAGTGCCGGTTCAACCCATTGTTGGCTCGCGTGTTTGTTGACGCATTCCCCGCTTGCCCGCCGGCTTGGGTTTGCGCTGATCCCGACCTCCACATCCCGCGGTCCCATGCGCAGTTCAAGTTCGTGGTTGACAAGGTGTGGACCCCCGCACCCCACGAACCCACGGTCACCAATGCAGAGGTGGGGAGATGGGGAATGCGGAGGGCAGGGGGTGGGGAGATGGGGAATGCGGAGGGCAGGGGGTGGGGAGCCAGTATCCGCATACACCTCTGCCTTCACGGGCGCTGCGGGACTGGGTGACCCCCAGGGGCCCCGTCTTGGGCGGGTGCAGCGCTGTGAAGAGGGAGCGGAGGCAGCGCTACCAGGGTGTCCTCAGCGGCTGTGCGTTAGCGGCCGCGCGAATGGGAGTGGGAGCTGCCGCCGCCTGGGTGGGTCATCTCTGACCGCATCTCTGACCTCTCCCCCTCCCGCCGGTAACGTAACGTTTAACCCTGCCGTCCTCCTCCACTTGGTTGTTCGGTGCTATCTGCTGCTGCTTATCTGGATGTACGAGAGTGAGTGTTTTCCCGCGTCCTGCCAAACCTGCGCACCCCCCCCAACACACACACACAGGGGCATCTGAACAACTACCGGGTCATTGCGCCCACTGTCAGCTTCTCCATCAAGGCGCCGAGGGCGGATAACGTTTTCGTGGTTGGTGACTGGGACAGCTGGCAGGTGGGCGGACTGGGGTGGGGGTTTGGACTGCGGAGGGACTGCAGGAGGGGCACCTGAGGGAAGAGGAGTGTCAGGTGCAGACCCTCACGTAAAGGGGGGTCGAATGAGAGGATGATAAAGAACACTACTTCTTGCTCCTCGTCAGGTGTTTGTGTCGGGAGATGCAAGGCAGCCCCGCTTGGGCCGTATTAGTTTGGTTACGGCAGCTTAGGCCCAGAAGGTGAATTTGTCCGGGGAATATCCGGTGAACGCGGCCTGCTGTCGACGGGTCGACCTGTTTTTATGTTGTTACAGGGTGGTATAGCTTCACCAGCGGCCCCCTTTCCCGAGGCAGTTCCCTGCTCTCCCCTGCTAGAGGGGTACCCTTATCCGTTCACCCCATCCGACTTTAGAATGTGTTCGTTGGTTTCAGCAACTCACCACCAGCATCCAACCAAATTTAGCGGATCAACGGCGCCTCAACTTAGTTCCTGGTCAGCTCGCAAGTTGATGTTATCACGTCCTACACCGTCCATAAGATGGGGGGGCCACCTCCCATTTCAACACTTCTCAAACACCCGAGAAGTCGGCAGGCGGATTTGAACCCGGACACTCCGGGAGCAGAAGTCAGGCCTTAACCTCTGCCAGCCGACCTGTTGTTGTTTTGCTTCCTGGTGGCGGAAGAAAGAGCGTATGTGTGTGTCACGCGGGTCGTGTCGGACTGGTGGTCCAAGTATCGCTCCCTGGCACGTCTCCCCCCCCACACACCTGCGCCCTCTCTGGCCCCCAGTACTCGCTAGTCTTGAAGAAGGACCCCGCCACAGGGACGTTCACGGCTAAAGCACATCTTCCGGTGGGTGGCTGGGGAGACGTCCGGAAAAGGGGGAGGGGAGGGGGGGATCGGGGGTTGGGGTAGGGGCGGCTCTCCGGCCTGAGTGAGAGTGTCCGATGAGGAAGGCGGGAAGCGACGTGGAAGGGACTTGGGAGGCGGGCCATCGCGGGCAGCTCACCTGCCGTACTGCCTCTCTGTTGCCAGTTCTTCGGAGGCCACCGGCCAGGTCGTCACCGCAAGCAGCAGCAGCAGCAGCAGCATGACAAGGAGGGAACGGGTTGGACCGGGTCGGCGAGGATAGGCGTCGAGTAGGCAGTGGACACAGCAAGCAAGCTGGGCGATGCAGATCTCATCCAACCTGCAGCGTCCCTGGTCACCAGAACCATCCCTGACTGAACCGCACCTGGCGTCCCTGACACTTCAAGTCTGGTCACCAGAACCATCCCTGACTGCTGCCCCCGCGGCCCCTATCCGGCTCCTCCTCTCCCCCCCGCCCGGGGGCGATCCGTCTACCTTTGGTATCTGCTTCACTCGCCAGTGGTTCGTCTTAACCCCCCCTCGGGGCGAGCTGTGGTGCAGCTCCTCCCCGGCGCGTTGGCCGTGTGGCCCTCACTGCCCCCTGCCGCGGCGTGTGCCGTACATTGTGCACCTCTTCCTAATCACATCTCTTAACTCGCGCCTCGGCCACCACCACCCCGTCCAGTGCATTAACCCTTCACCCCTGCCCCACATCACGCCCACGTCACCCTCCCCCCCCGGCTCCCCCCCCTCTGCAGCCCGGCCAGTACTCGTACTCCTTCCTGGTGGATGGCACCCTCTCCACAGACCCCGCTCAGGCGGTGCACCCCAATGAGGAGTACGGCGAAGTACACCGGGTACGCGGGCTCACATACAGACATACATCTGCGCAGTTGCGTCTAAGAGGATGTGTGTTGAGTTTGCGTAAGTATGTGTGAATACTGTATACGTGCCCGTTCGTACAGCTATGAGTGTCGCCGTTGGGCCAGAGCGCAGTTGGGCCAGAGGCATCGAGGGGGGGGGTAAGGGCCGGCGGAGGGAGGGGGGTCGCGCAGTGCATTCCAATCCAACCGCGTTCCAACCCAACCGGATTCTCTGTCAATCGGCCTTTTGCAGCTGCTTTCTCTGTTAGCCCGCAGTCGCCATGATAAGGCGCAGATGCCTAGTTGAGGTGTGAGGGTGGCGTTGTGTCACCATGTTTGCTGTACGGTATATAGCTGCGGTTGCTGCCGCTTCCACTGTCGTTGTCGCGGCTACCGCCACTGCCGCCCGTGCAGACCTGGAGCTTCGAGCCCAACTTGTTCCGGATCTTTTACTGCACCGGCTGGGACGAGGCGGTGCTGCAGTACCGGAGGGTGGTGAGGGGGCAGCCAGTGACCCATGTGGGCGCTGCGGGGGGGGCGGGCGCACCGGGGCGGTGGAGGGGGGGGGGAAGGGGGCCGCCGGGACATCACTTTAATGCTGCCGGCGCCTGGGCCGCCGTTCCGCTCATCGACTGCATCATCTCACTTTCTTTTTTCCCCTCCCCCCTGCCACGACTTCACCGCTAAGGACTTGAGCAATTTTGGACTTTGTACTTCGGCAGTTTATTTCTGAGTTTCTTGCATGTGATCCCCCCTCCCGGCCATCCTCTGCTGGGTAGATGGATGCCCACGTTCCTCTCCTGCTGTACTGCCACTGCAGCTGTTTCCCCCACTCCCCCCACTCCTTCCACTCGACCAACGGATGTCGGCAATTATTCTTTTGCTTCCCGCATCACACGAATTCCTCCCCTCCCCTGCAGGAGTGGCAGCGGCTGAGTCTGGTTAACGCCCCCAGCCGCGGCAACTCGCTGGGCGTGTGGAAGATGGCCACCATCGTACCCACTGACCCCTCCGAGAGTCTGGAGTTCACCCTCAACAACGGGGCCGGTGGGGACAAGCTGAAGGAGGACCGACCAGGGAGCGCACCGCTGTACGTGTGCCCCTTCCCGGGCTCCTTCAAGCTGGCCAAGGGCATGCTGAGGCCCTTCCCGAGGGGGGCGGAGTCGCGAATCATGCTGGTGGGTACGGCCCCCCGCCACAAACCTATCGCCTCCGCCAGCGTGTTGCGCTTCTCACAACGGTTGGAAGTCGTTCTGGCTGGCCGTTACGTCTGGCGTGTATGTATGTTGTTACAGGGTGGTTAACTTCGCCAGCGGCCCCCTTTCCCGGGGCAGTCCCTGCTCTCCCCTGCTAGAGGGGCACCCTAATCCGTCACCCCATCCGACTTCAGAATGTATTCGTTGGGTTCGGCAACTCACCACCAGCATCCAACCAAATCTAGCGGATCAACGGCGCATCAACTTAGTTCCTGGTCAGCTCGCAAGTTGATATTATCACGTCCTACACCGTCCATATGATGGGGGGCCACCTCCCATTTCATCACTCCTCAAACACCCGAGGAGCCGGCAGGCGGATTTGAACCCGGGTCGACTGGGTCGACTGGGAGCAGAAGTCAGGCCTTAACCTCTGCCAGCCGCCTGCCCGTGTATGTACATGCCCGCCCTGCCCGTGTATGTACATGTGTGATATGACCTAGGATAAGGCTGTTGCAATCGGGGGGTTTTGCGCTGAGTCTATACTTGCTTAGGAGCCCCCGGCCGCGGCTGTGTTGCCCTAAACCCTCAACCCCGACCCTGGCCCCGACCCGGGGGCCCCCCCCCCGCCGCCCGCTGGCCCTCCCCCCCCCAGGTGAGTGACATTGACGGCACCATGATCGGCGACATGAGCTGTCCTGACGCCTTCTCCTCCAGCCACCGGTTCGCCGAGTACTGGGAGAACAGCGCCTCGCTGGCGGGGTCCCTGCTGGTCTACAACACGGGTGGGCTGCGGGAGGGCCGGGCAGGGGAGGGGGAG